CTATTTTAAAAACAAACTTCTATGAGAGGTACTTCATGTGTTACCACACATAATGCAAATTTCGTACAACAGGGTGGCCTAGTTGTCTCTTTTTTTTTTCCTTCTGAACAAAACGTAAGGGCTACACAGTCATTTTTTGCTTCTCATTGCTTTAAATGAGTTAGATACAAACATATGCCTTTATGACAAAACAAAGAGTTAAAGTAGAACAAAAGTACAAATGAACAAATGTTGCTGATCATCATGGAAAGACGTTAAACCTGTTTTAAAAATGCTATGACATGATATGATGCTATAGGCATATACTTTAGATGAGAAAGGCTGTGTTCCTTTAGCCTAACTTCAAAAGACTCTGTAAGTTGGGCAAACATTCTTCCTTATTTTCACAGGGCCAGCTTGACCCTGGCTGCCCTGAAAAGGCATGCCTGACAGTGACAGATGAGGCAGTGTGTCGAGTGGAGGAGAGGTGGAGGTGGTAAGGTGAAGGGAGGGGTGTTGGGAGTCCCACAGAGGGATGGCTGCCATCTCTGGGAGAAACTCTGACTCACTGGACTCAGCGTGTTGCCAGTCAGGCTGGCCGCTCTTTGCCCAGGAGCAACGTCTGTGTGTACACAGTTTCACACCTGGACAAACAGCAAGGCAGGCCAGGAAAAGCAGCCCACCCTTAAACACCTCTCCCGCTGCCCACCTTTAACTTTTGCCCCATCTAAGAACACACCATTGGCTCCCTTCTAACTCCCAGTCCTTTGTTTTTCCTCATTTATTGGTCCTTTTCTACACCTCTAGCCCCTTTCCACTGGACTTTAGCTGACTGCATACAAAAAATCTTTCAGCTACACTTACTATAAAATGTAATATGAATAAAATATGAATATGACAAGTGTGTATTCAGTTTTCTTTGAAAAACTTCTTGTACATTTGTCTAATATGTGCATTTTTAATCAAAACAAATGAAAAATGAAAAAGAAAATGCGTTAAGTAAGGTTAAAACGCAGTGATTTTTTTCCCCCACTCCAATTTACACACAATGACCAATGAAAGATGATCTCCTTTTTTTTTGTTTTGTTTTGTTTGTGGGCCAAAATTATATTATTTGTGTCTGATCAGAACCTGACAGCAATGATTGCAAGAGGCTGTAACGACAGAGACAAAAGGACAATTTTGACTCACGACATATAGCGTGTTGGCTTATAGGAACAATGTAAAAAAATAACTTAATTGGTCATTAAATATAACTTAAAAAATTAAAACACTCTCAATAAATAGTTGTACTATTTACACCATTGTTATGAGACTCAGAAATGTCACCAAAATACCAAAAATATAGAAGCAGCAAACATTACAGGCATGAGGTACAGCAAGGGATCCTGTGATGACTACAGTAGAGAGGTGGTGTCCTCATCTGATGCACAAGGGTATCATTTTGTATTTTTACTGTGTTTATCCATGGCTTTTGGGTACCTTCTACATAATACTAGGAAAATAACCTTTAAAGTTGACATGAAGTCACATTCTGTGGCATTTTGTAGCAATCAGTTGTTTTGGTGTCCAGACATTGACTAATAAAATAACTGCAGAGGATATTTCTAGTATGGCATATGAAAAAAAAAAACACCTAATGAGTCTATAAAGTGAAGGATGGGGTCTTAATAACAAGTTTCATTTTTAAACAGCTGGAATGGCTTTTCAGTGACCTCAGAGGCAGATGATGAACCACAGTACTGCATGTCGTTGATAAAGTGTGGTGACAATAGGTATGTCTGTTCCTGACTGTTATGAGCTCTACGTGAAGCAGCAGTATCTGGATTACAAACATTACATATAATTCAGTAACATCAGCATAATACAAGTCAGTTTTATCAGGGCTATATAGTTTTCATATAAAGTTTATAAATGTTATCTTCGAAGATCGTATAGCCTTCAGAATGTCTTTACAAAGCGTTGCACTTCACAAGGCTTTCAAAAGTCCTTTTCGATGGAGGTTTCTTCATTTTCTGTCCTCTGCATGCTAAAACTTGAGCTTTTATACAAACACAAAGGCAACAAAAACGCATCTGCAGTTTAACTAAACTTTAAATGTGTCGAAGCACGTCTAAAATGCGCTGACACAGACCCACTTGTTCAAGAGTCTGGACTTCTATGGATGGCGTAAATGGTTTGCTGTGACGTTAACACCGTACTTGGTTAAAAACATGAAAAGCAAAGCCAGTTTCAGTTACAGAAAAGCATAACCACATGTCCTCTAAGTATAAAGCATCAGAGCCAAGTAAAACACAAATGACAAAACAACTAATAGCAACACAGGGAGTCAAATGACCAAATATAATACAGTTTGACTTACATTACCATTTTGACAATAGCAGCTTCTAAGCATTTTTGAAAGAAACATCTTTTCTTCTTACATAACAACTAGAAAGTGCAGTAATTGAGGTCATTAATACAAACACTGATTAAATAAGACAATGTCCAAAAATGAAACAAAAAAAAATCACAAACATTTGTCAATATTCTGTTCTTCAAGGACATTGATTTACTACATGATGTGATTTTTCTATATATTTAGAGGAAAATATTACCTTCTTTATTTATTTGCATGTTCTAATATTCTCAAAGCTCTCTACTAAAGGTGGCTAGAAAATTGACATTAAATTTCTTTCATATTATCTCTTGTACAATGTTCTTATGAGGAGGATATGGATTGGATGGAATATGAATGCCACACCACTAGGCTAAATGAAATGAAATGAAATACGCTCCTTGTTGCAGTGACTATGGTTGCAGTTTGTATGGAGCAGCGGTGTTTGAACCAACATGCAGAGCAGTCTTCATTATCAAGTGTGCATGAGAACGATTTGTTTGTGTGCGTCTGGAATGAAGAGTAAGAAAAGTTTTCATAGCAGCTGTGTAAAAATATTTCATGAGAATGGCTAGCCCAAACATGGAATACTGAAAAATGATTCAAAGTGCACTTTGTACTGAAGTGAACAGTAAATAAATTACTCAAACTGGACTCAGCAGGAGGTCTTGGGCGGCTTTGAACATATTTAGACTGGAAATGCTGTGTTGACATGTACATCCAAATGTCATTTTCATGTAAAACCCTGTTGCCTGCAGAGCAAGACAACAGGGGAGAGGGGAGAAAGTGAAACATGATGTGTTGAAGGGAAGTATGCTGGTCGCGAGGTTGATTTTGTGTGTGTGTGTGTGTGTGTGTGTGGGGGGGGGGGGGGTCTAGGAGGCACATATCCAGCCTTTTATTCCTGTGCGACTGTGGTGTGCAGTACTGTGAGATCAAGAAAGCCACAGGCCTTTGACAAGCATTGTCTACATTCTAACCAGGACTGGGATGCATTTATTTTCAGCTTTAATTTCAGTTTCAGGCATTAATTGAGGTAACAAAGTTCTTATCAAGCTCCATGAGAGAGGAGTCCAAACTGAAACTAAAAGCACCCCGAGCCCCAAGTGAGGTTATGGATGACATTCTTTAAGTCGTGATCAAAGTATTTAGTGTTACTGTGAGGAAGCTGGGTGAGAGCTGGAGGTTCTGGATTTCCTTGTGTCTAGTTCAGTTCACATATGGTGCTGTCAACAATTTTGTTTTTTTAATTATTATTATTTTGTAAATGCGAAATGACAGGGTCATTTAATACCATGCAAAACGGGAGTGAATGTTATCCAGAAAAAATTGTATGCAGCTAGGAAGACAAAGCTGACTCCGCCTACAAATAAATTAAGATGCAGAAGCCACACTGAAATGACCAAATGCTTTCAGGATGTTGTTTTCTGTACATTGTCTTTGATTTTTTTGTTGTTGTTGTAGTTGGTTTAGTTTTGTTTTTGTGAATTATATATGCATTTGAAGTGATAGTTCAGATGTTTTGTGGGGTTCTGTGGAAAAGTTATGATTAAGTGGTATCTTACCTGTTGTATATAATTGATTTAATCAAGGAGCTAAGTCGATTGGGGCCAATTCCAAGAGTGGATCGTTGCCATCTTTAAACCATTCCATTCCAAATTATGTTTGTAACGGTGCATGTGGAAGATTTTACAAACGTCTACATCACTGTGAGTTTACACACCGATCAACACAGCAGCAGCTAGTTGCAGCACTTCTTGTGTAGTATGGGGCAATTCCAGCAGCGATATATTTTTATACTGTGAACTTGTTTATATGATAAGCTACTTTTTTTAGTAAGCAACAATAAACTTTAGTCTCAATCCCACTCAGACTAGCTGTTGGTTCATTATTCTGGTCAGAACTGGTTTTTAATTCTCCAAACGGAAATGACAAAAATAATTATCTACAGCAGGTAAGATACTCATTGACATTGATGTTTCTATAAAACCCAACATCAAAGTGTTTTAACTTTATTTTTAAGTTTGGCTTTTTATGCCAAATCTGTGGCCCAAAAGATTATGGCTGTCTCATTCCCATCTATTCTTAGTGTAACCCCTAAAACCTCTGGCATCCCTTTGAGGAAACAGATATTATCAAAAAATATAGATTTAAAGAATATCTGACTATTTCATCTGAACGCAGAAGTGATATAAACATAATCTTGCAGCCCCTCTAACAGCAAGCTGGGGGTTGCACCTTGAGGTGCTGAGAATTCAGAATGTCTGAGGATTACTTTGTATATGTTTCTTCATATCAGTCATATCCGCAAAACACAGAGCCAGCATCGGCACTATCCCATACTTGCATGTTTTGATTTACCTTTGGTTCAATCTCATGATTGTAGAGTGAGGTAACTAAAAACAATACTAAAGCCAGCACAAAACTCAACAAATGGCATGCTACCTATTCTTGGTTTTGTTTCATCTTTGTGTGTCACCTTCCAAAGAAATGTCTGTTTCATGTATTTTTTTTTTTTTTTAAATGCTATACATGTCTTTTTGATGATGGTATCACAGGGGTTACTTTCCTCTTAGCTGAGAAACCGTGGTTTCTGTGAAGTCTCATAATTCCCATCCTTTCTTATTTTTTCAGATCTTCCTTCTGTAGAGAGGTGCAAGTATTTTAGCTGGCTGGGATTGCAGTATAAATGTAGAGGTATGCCTTTTAAGCAGCATGTGGAGGCGACTGTTGGCCGAGAGGAGGATGAAGGGGGTTCTGCCTCGGCCACTCTGGCTGTGTTGTGTTGAAGGGTCCTGGAAGCCTGAACGGAGATCACCGCTCAGGTTCATCACCCGAGGGAATGGAAGCGCTCATCCTTCCTGTTCTCCATGGCGTTGGGATCTCGGCAGGAGCACTCATCCCGTATGTCACAGGACATGGGGAAGGGAATTACCTGCGTGGGAGAAAAATAAGTTACATTATTGCAAAATATAATAACACTAACATTTTGTTTTATTGTATTCATTACTGATGCATGCAAATTGAACAAGTTATAGTCTTTTTTGTTTTTGCCAAGGTCGATTAGGTGTGATGGCCAGCTGGAGTCTGGTTGACTCTAAAAGCTAATCAGTTGTATTAACGTATTACTTTATGAAAATCTCATTAAATTCAGTCCAGTGTTTCATGAGCAGACAGTATAATAAATGTACACACAGACACATGAGCCCTTTTCTTTTCATGGCAGCTGAAAATAAGATTTTTTTTTTTTTAAAAGCACAGCAATAATCAGTAACTTATTATAAACAAGAAAAATGGTTACTGATTGAGTCTACTTATTTCTGATCTGCAACTTTAGCTTTACTTGTAAACCACCGTTGTTTAATAAAATGTAAAATGTCTTATATTACAAATTTATCTAAAAAAAAAAAAAGTAACTTCCGTCAGATTGAATAATGAAGTAGTTGAGCATCAAATAAATTTGTACAGAAAATCGAAGAGTCGTTTAAAGAAAAGACATGTAATGGTAAAAAATTTCAAATTTCTACAAAAAAAAAAAAAAATCCAAATGGTTTTATTTACATTTTATTCAATATGGTTAAAGAAAAAGGCAGAAGTGAATATTTCAAGCTATTACTTTTTAAAATGTATAGACACCAGAAATCCAAAAAAAAGGCAAAAATTTAAGTTTTAAATAAATGATAATGGAAAATGGTGAATGGACTGTATTTATATAGCAAACTTTCATCTTATCAAGATACTCAAAGTGCTCTACAACACAATCTGTGCCCTCATTTACCCATTCATACAGCACTCTACTATATCTCTACACAGACTAATCAGTGCTTTCTCACATTAATACATCGATGGGACACACATCAGAGGCAATGAGGGGTTCAGTGTCTTGCCCAGGGACACTTCAGCATGTGACTGCTGATGGAATCAAACCCCCAACTCTCCCACTGAAGGACGACTGCTCTAACCACTCAATCACAGCTGCCCCTTGTCAAGCATTGTAAAAAAAAAAAAAAGTTAATATTCTCTCTGAAAATTGAGCCAACGACCGGAAAGTTTTTCCTTTTTCATTTGCAGCTCATAGAAGAGCCATTCCATGTCACAATCTCATAATATGAAAACAGTTTATATTTTCATTTATTCCCATTTTCTCTGATAGTTTGGTGTCAGCATGAAATACTGCCGGTGAAAGCAGAACAGGATGATCAGTGGTCGTTGGCCCTGGCGTTGACGTAACTGGATAATGTTGGCAATGCGTCATCAGCACCAGCTGCTGCAGCCTTGTCTGCTTGCTCACCTCTCAAGGGGTTGGCTTCAGCTGTTTGGGTACACAAAATGTGCCCCCCTTCTTCAGGCCAAACAGGGAAACACGTGTTGTTTAGGGTCATGTAAGGCAAGCAGCATACCAAGGACAGTTTCAATTTGGGTCTTGGTGGCTAATATTGTAAAGAGCTGGGAGCCTGAAGCCAGTGTTGCTTTATTTTATTGGACTAAAGTGGCCTTTGTTAGACAATGGATCCAAGTAAATGTTGCAAATGTAACATTAATAAAAGTCAGTGCAGCCATCATGGATTTGACAGGATGCTTTGTGCCAAATGTGGCTATTATTTCAATGCTATTAGTGAAAACTGTCTTGCTGCTGCAAAATGACTTGTTCCAAAGGACGGTTATGAATCTCCAGTTCAAATGTAAATGTTTTACATTTTCTGAAACTATTAGTAAAACAAAAAGACACTAAAAGGTAATATTATTTTGGAAATTTTGGTAGGAAATTGTTGAATACATTGAAAATAATACATAGAATTTCTCGTCCGACAAAGAAAAATAAAACACTTTTAGAGCATTATGTTCCCAATATGTGAAGTTTCTACCTGTTTTCCTTTTGAAAAGTCAGCTCTTATGATTCTCTAAAAAATGCCAAGACTGTGCCAATAAGAAACTTCCAAAACACTGTTTTAGCTCAGGGAGACATGTTTACTTAAACTAGGTTTAGTTCATAACTTTTTTAATTTGAAATAATACAAATGACATTTTACATGTCAGGAAATAGCTTTCCTATTTTTCTTGTAAATAGTGATAAATATAGTGCACAATAAAGATCACTATCATTTGTGGAAGCAGGTCATTTAAAGGCAGCAGATCTGTGGAATGACATGGGTCAGCACAGAAATAGTGATGCAGATATAGAAATATATCATTTTAAATGTTTGCACAGATGAGCAGTGCAATCAGCACATAAAAACAGCTGTCACATGGACGGCCAGTGTTTCCTCTGAAGCACTTTCAAACCAAAAATGTGGGGTCTTTGTTCTCATCTGTCTTTTTTTTTTTTTTTTTTAATGAGCACATCTCTGCTTAAAATGTATCTGTTTTCTTTGAATGTTTTCACACTCTGTTATTACGCCCTTCTTTCACAGGACAATTTCCCACCATATCTCCCATCACTTGCGCACTTAACTTCCACTCCAAGGCCACTTGTGCTTATCTTTCTCTGTAGAAAATGATGGTGGGTGGCAGATTTGACACGGCTTCCCTTGACCTTGACCTCCAAGGTGGCTGGGCCAGGTGCCACATCTGGCCCTGACTTAGGATTCTCCCATGGTGGTGTAGAAAATGAGACAACCTAACCTTGTGGGCATGGGGGTCCTCCTGCTGCCCTGAGCTCCAGTGTTAGAAGAGGGCTGATTGAGGATGCTCACAAGGTGAGAACAAGACCTTCTAAAGAACACAGATATTGTCAGTGTCCCATCCTTCCACCTACAGAGTAGGTCAAAAAGTTCCTCTCTGTTTTGTCTGTGTGCAATCTGCAGTAAGCCAGCATTTCAAAGAAAAAGGTGATCTAACGGGCTGAAGAATGAGGAAAAAAAGAAACGGGATGCTTTAGAGATGCATATGTCACTGTTCATTAACAAGTAACTGTGGCTATTGGAGAAAATTTACAAAAGCAATAAACAAGGACTGATTATTTCTTATCTAATCTCTGCCAAAATGTTTTAAGAAGCTAAAAAAAAACTTTTCAGCTAAAATTAAATATGACTTATGAAAGAACAACAAATGAAATGCCTATTTTTGAAATCATTTCTTAAACCTCTGCCATGCAGCATCAGTCACAACACATTCCAATCTTTAAAATCATTATACCAGTTTAAAAAAAATAAGTAAATTGATGCTATAGTGACACATGAGAAAAATAATGAGAAGGCTTTTAAAAGATTTTTGATGACACATGTAAACATAACATACATTAAGGAAAAGATATGGTGGGTTAGGTTTTAACAGAACAGATGATGTAGAATTAAAAAAAAAATCAAAGTAAACTGAACGTTTGAAGCACGTTTTATAAGCTAACACTCTCTCCGTGTGCGACTTGGCCTTTTGAAAAAGAGCTAAGGAATTTCTGTACGTGAATTACCAACACAGAGATTTGTGGTTAGCGGTGGATATCACGGACCATCAGCTTAGAGACAAACATCCATCATGACACACGCAAGTCACGTAGTGGGTATATTTGTGCCAAACTCTGAGTTGCAAACAGGGGTAAAGGCCTGGGAGTAATCTCAGCACTTACCCAAGACCTTAACTTAGAGAGAAAAACACACAGGCACATTTATAATAAAAAAAATGTCTTAGAGAAGCTAAGTTGATCCAAGAAAAAATTCTTTCCAAACTATATTGGGGGCTACAAAAAGGGTCCCGCATAGGGAACCCCACAGAGAGGCATGTTCCAGACCCTTGCTTCCTTTACACCCACAACCCCCTCCCCCTGCGCCGTCTCTCAAAATCTAGCAAACAGCTTGCAACTATTAAGGGGAGATCCTGTGGTGGCCTTACGTGCAACCATTCCTTGCACCTTCAAAGTCCCTGGGGCAGAACAATGAACAGCAAGTCATCCAAAACTCCTTAATACACAAATTATTATCAAAACAAAGGCTAAAATAAGGGCTTTTTACTTTGCTTGGAAGCAACATGAAAAAAAAAAAAGTGAGTTCCCTTTGTAAAAAGTCATTATTAAAGAAAACTCACTCTATTTTCAATTCTGTTTGTTTCATTTCCACAGACAATGAAAATAATCTGCTCATAAAAGTGAGTAAGGACTACCTCTGTAGCATTTACCTAACACTACAACACATGTTACATTACACTGAGAAAAATTAGGGAAAAACACCAAAGACTTGGGTTAAAAAAGTTTGCCCTTCCTGGTACAACCTTATATTTCAGAACTTTTGAAAGTCCACCAGCCCAGCAGAGCTTTACGGTCTGCTGGTCAGTATCTGCTGGAGGTGCCACGCTCAAGGTGCAAACAATGGGGGGACCGGTCCTTTTCTGTTGCAGGCCCAACAGCCTGGAATACTCTTCCCTATGAGCTGCGTGCCATCTCTGATCTGGTTCTGTTCAAAGCCAAACTGAAAACATACTTATTTAAAAGGGCTTTTAATGTTTAACTTTTAGTATTTTAGTATTTAGTATTTATTTATTGATTTGATCTCTTTTACCTTCTTTTATTCTGGCTGTGTTTTTAATTTGCACTGATTTATTGTGTCCTGTTTCTAATCTTGTTTTATCTTGTAAAGCACCTTGGTCAATGCAAGGCGTTGTTGGAAGGTGCTATAGAAATAAAGTTTATTATTATTATTATTATTATTATTATTATTATTATTATTATTTCAATGGGCGTTAAGAGGGTAAAACAGTAGCAGCATGGTGCTAATGACATGGACCTTCTAAACTTGTTATAAGCAAAAAGCAGAAACGGTCACAGTTTGATGGTTTGGAGCATTTTGGATTGTTGCAATCCAATATCAAGTAAGACTTTAGCAAAGGGAGAATTTTATATATTTCAATCAAACTAGCGAGCAGGTTGCCCCAGCTCAAATCCCAGTCATGAGGCCTTCCTGGGTGAAGCTTGCATGTTCTCTCCGTGCATGTGTGGGTTTTCTCCAG